ACAATATTGATCGTGATGTGAGAGCAATATTGGTAAATTAACATTATTGTTGGCAAAATACTGCAAGAACATCATGAGTTACAGTACGGATATCAATAACTAAGATCATCAATAACTTCAATTCATTGTCTTGTATATGCGCCTTCCCAAAACATTGAGTATCACATCGTTGCGGCATCAGACTCTTTATCATTAGCACTGCAAAAATATTGTGTTATATCATACTGTAAACGCCACTCCTAACATGTAGGCCTTAAGAACAGTTGTGCTAGAATTTGCAGGGGTCGACCTTCAGGACTCACACGATGGTTCATCATCTCACTGGCTTTAGCTTGTCCACCATCAAAGGCAGCCCAGCTATCTGGGAAACAGCTGCCCAACGTGTCGGACCAACCCCGCGGATTGTATTTGTGGCAGTTCAGATTAGCTGTTTTTATTTTTAGGCAGGAGATAAATCCTCGTGTACGCTAGGTGAGTCATGGTGGTCAGCGATAGACAATGAGAGAATGTGGGCGGGGTGAAGGGAAAGATTAAACCATTCGGCTTTTGAATATTTTCGGTAACATCTTGCGTTTTTTTTGCTGATTTGAGTGGGACAAACTGTATCTAGAATAGACATTGGACAATGCAAAAGAGTTGGGAAGTTATTTTCTACGATCAATGGAAAGATGGGTTGTACGCTGTGTAATTAAAAGCAGGTGTGGGGAACCTACAGCATTTGATCTGACCCTGCTGCACAATTTTCAAAACCTCAGATGAACTCTAAAAACATCTAACTTCTATTTTTGAAATGCCCTGACAGCAAAACAGAAAAAAAGTATCCCAACCCCTGATTTAAAGCCTGTATAACTGCTCACTCACAATAGACTACTATATGTCTACATTTTGGCACAGGTGGAAGAACCAGAGTCGGGTTTACTATGCAAACAGCTGCGGCAGCGATAAGCCATTTTTCCAAGTGTCATTCTAGCCACTTATACACACAGTGACAAGGGATACTGTAGCGCTGACAGCTGGAGGTTAGCTGATGGGTTCTTACAGTAACAGGGTGAGCGATGATGTGCAAAAGTTTTGTGTGTTTGTGTGTGTGTGCGCACGCACCCCAGCCCCTCTCGCATCCCAAGTAGACTGATAGGGCTTATTTATAACCTCCTCAATTGCAGCCAGAAGAAAATAAGAGCCCGCTGAGAGATGGAGAAACCACTGAGAACCTTGAAATGTGCAAAAATACACACAGTAACAAAAGACGAGCTTTCACTCTCATCTTTGTCTTTCTTTACAACAATCCAATGTGAAGTGATCAGTCGTGGGTGAAAATGACGGACCGCTACGACTGCCACTACTGCAAAGAATCCCTCTTCGGGAAGAAGTACGTCCTACGAGAGGAGAATCCCTACTGCGTGAAATGTTACGAGAGCCTCTACTCCAACACCTGCGAGGACTGCAAGAAGCCCATTGGCTGCAATACCAGAGTGAGCACATATGCATTGTGTAAACACACGCATGTATGGTAATTTTTAGATGAGGGGGTCGGGGGGTTAAGGTACAATACTTGGTGAGTTAACCTTTCGTCAAGTGATTAATTATTAAAAAAAAAAAAAAACTAAATTTAGTCACACAAATCTCTTCTAATTGTGGAAAATGACCAGTAAACTTTCCATACAATTTATGTCATGCTGAGCAGGATCTTTGGAAATGCATGGGCAACTTGATGATGATGATGATGTATGATGAATAAAAATGGGAGAAAATATATGACATAAACTATCTGTATTAGAAATCTGCGTGTTATTTTAATGAAAGTAAAGCATTGTGATAGACAAATGCTTTTAACATGAAATATCGTCTGCACAAAGACATATTCTCGCCTTTGCTCAAATATGAGCAATGGAATGTCTTTGTGTTCAAAGTGTAGAGCACAGTTTGAAAGAAATTAAGACCAAAAAAAAAAAAAAAATCCCGCTCAGCCAACTTTAGCCTTGCTAAAGGCAGCACGGATCGATTCCACTTTCTCTCCTCGCAAATGCTGCAATGTAGATCAACAAAACCAGGCAGGCATTTGTTGCCAGGCAAGGTTCACAGCGTACGCATTTGTCCCACAGGCGATATACCTCGTAACACTATGAACAAACGGGTGAATGTTATCTATTAATTTCGCAATTGAATCACTTCGTCTGTCTTCATTACACACTATAATTATTGAGAAGACAAACAGCCCCATCTGCCGAACTTGGTGGGGTACTGCACCCAAACACTCATGCATTCTCGGTCCCTGAACAAGCATCCCTATCCTGGTAGGATCTGTCTTACAAAGACCGCCACTGGCATGAGGAGTGCTTCAAGTGCTTCCAATGCAAGCGTTCCCTGGTGGACAAACCCTTCTCCACCAAGGATGAGCAGCTGCTGTGCACCGAGTGCTATTCCAACGAATACTCCTCCAAGTGCCACGACTGCAAGAAAACCATCATCCCTGGTGGGCACGGAAACAAAAATACTACACCATCCTATCAAGCGAGGTTCTTCTTCTCACCCTGGCGTTCTCACTTGTGTTTTTGTCGCTGTTGAAGGCTCCAGGAAGATGGAGCACAAGGGCAACAGCTGGCACGAGACTTGCTTCACCTGCCAGCGATGCCAGCAGCCCATCGGCACCAAGAGCTTCATCCCCAAGGAGAACCACAACTTCTGCGTGCCCTGCTACGAGAAGCAATTCGCCATGCAGTGTGTGCTGTGCAAGAAGGTAGGGGATCATTTGACAACGGCTGGAAACCACACTCCTGACATAACATACCGGCGGCGCTATAATGTCGACATGCTGTGGCTCCATCTTAGCCCATCACCACCGGCGGCGTGACCTACCGTGAGCAGCCTTGGCACAAGGACTGCTTCCTGTGCACTGGCTGCAAGCAGCAGCTGTCTGGCCAGAGATTCACCTCCAGAGACGACTTTGCCTACTGCCTCAACTGCTTCTGCAACCTCTACGCCAAGAAGTGTGCTTCCTGCACCACCCCCATCAGCGGTAAGCAAATGCAGTGAAACTCCTCTAGAAGGAATCCTACATGGGCAAAAATACCCCCTAGTGTGAAAAAAATCTTCATGCATTCACATCATTCCCACTCTCCTGCCCCCCAAACAACGAAAAAAAAAACTGTTGCGTTATACGAAATCTTGAGAGACGGAGGAAGCAAAATAAAAGACATTATCCAAGAAATTGATGTAAGTGAAAGCGAATGCTGATCGTAAATTTCGCAATTTCTTTCCCCTTTTTTTCTTTCTACACTGACGATATGAAGTGTCAAATAAGTGTCTGCTCATACTTATGCACTATTGGAATAAAAATAAAGAGTACACATACGTTTGTGTGTGTGTGTGTGTGTTTACATCTGAGCTCAAATTTGCTACAGTGAAAAACCCCCTGTTGTGAAAAATTTCTTGCTGCAAACATGATTTCGTTGTAGAGGAGTTTCACTGTACATTCACTCTACTGTATCCCTTTGTCCATTTTTTTATAGCACTTCCTGTTGGCAGAGAAACCTGCTGTCCTACACTGTTTCATTGTATTCCTGTGAATTCCCATAAATCCAAATTGTGGGAATTTTGTTTTTTCAGGCCTCGGAGGCAGCAAGTACATTTCTTTCGAGGAGCGCCAGTGGCACAACGACTGCTTCAACTGTAAGAAGTGTTCCGTGTCGCTGGTGGGCCGCGGTTTCCTGACCGAGCGCGACGACATCCTGTGCCCGGAGTGTGGCAAAGACATCTGAAGGACGCCGCCGCACACATACACACGCATTCAATCATACGATATCGAAATGCTTAAGCGGTCGCGGCACACACCGTAGTGCCTTTACTTCTTTCTAATGTGCATTGTTGTTCAGCTTAGCTTCTATTTGACAAGGACTGATGAATACTGTTAATAGAATAATGTCTTGCATGAATATAGAGGACATGTTTGCAACTATGAATTATGGTTTAGCGTCAGCGTTATTGCAGATTGCATGCTTCTAATTTAACTAAATCCCTGTGTTGTGCATGGATTAGCCTCTGTGAAACAACTTGGTGTTATTGGCTTGTGTAAAATGTAGATGTGCATGGAGTCAGGTTTATGGACTTGAGAATTATCCAAAATAAAAGAGTTAACAATTGGCATTACGTTTCTTATTCATATACTTTATGTATCCATCCATTTTTGAGATTGTTTGTTATGGTTACGATAACGGTTTTGTCTCATGGTGCCAAGTATCGCTTTCGTTACCATGATGGCCATAGGCGACGATCGGATGTTGCGACGAAGGGTTACTCAGGATTTCCACAGTGGTGATTTTATCTCTAATTTTCCAATCAAGCAACTGCAAAAAAAAAAAAAAAAGTGACACATAACAGGTGAACAAAAGCAATTAGCACAATTGTCAGGCAATGCAGACAAACAATTCTGAGGAATCAAATTACTGTGAGCCAACCGGTTCTTAAAAAGAACGTTTTCGATTCCCGTCCCTCATTATTATTGTCATTTAGCTTCATCTGTAGATCCATTTGCTCATTACTGCAGTGCATTCCATGCTGATCTTTATCGACATGAAATAGATTCTCGCCACTCCAATTGAAGCACCACTGACCATTTGTATTGGCACACTACTGATTTAAAAAAATAAACTTGCTGGTACAAATAAAGCTACCATGTCGGATCTTAAAAAGGCCAGCAAAGTCCACAAAACGTGCAAAAAAAGTTGCCAAATTTTATTGCTCGTACTGGGGTACCTTTGGTCTTAAGTCCAAATTAAAAGTTTCATTTTTTTAAGGCAAATTTGATCAAATTTTACATCAACAAAATCTAAAGGCTAGATTTTTAAAAAAATCAAGTTTGCAACAGTGTGTCCTCGAGGACCAGGGCCAGATCGCAGTCCTAATGATATGAATTAGGTGTGTTGAAGAATGGGAAAATCGCCATCAGGGACAGAAGTTTGAGACCCCTGCAATAGAGCACAATGAGTGAGATGACCAATGAATTAATATTTTTTAAAAACATTTATTTGATGCCACTGGGTGAAATCACTGTGATGGGGGGCACAGCAGCGTTTAGCGAGTGTTAAAAGGGGATAATTCGCTGTCACTCAGACGTCACGGCCAAGTCACATGCTGGATCTTTTTCTTCACCTCTGGAGACATCAGAACACCCTGAAGACATGCAGCAGGAAAAAAAATGAGAAGAACTCACTAAGCCCTGTTCCAATGTGTTTTTTGGGACAAATAACAGTTTAACTTGCGGTTCTTACAGAGCAGTTTGCCTCCCGCTTGAGGCTTGCTGTGCCAGGGCAGCGTGAAAAGATCTTGTTGGAAGAAGATGTTGATGATGACGATGATGATGATAATGACAAAGACGACAACGGAGATGATGATGATGCTGATGAACTGCCAGACAAACGACGAATGGGGTTGGCCAGGTTTAGCGCTGGTGGGGGTTTTAGCCTATCAGCCACCCCTGATGACGATACTGTGCTCATTTCCGGCTTCTTCACGTTTGGTGAGCCACATGAAATGGAAAGGGAAGAAGTCAGGTGGTCCCTGGAAGGTACAACACAAAGGAAAGGGAAGGTACAATTAAGCATTTGGGAGGAACAATCAAGTGTAGTGAACTGGCAGGAAAAAAAATACATTCACTGATTCAATAACAAAGGAATATAATTGTGAGAATAAAGTTGTGATTTTACAAAAACAACAACAAAAAAAAAAAGGGTTCGAGAGTGAAATTAAATTACAGTACTTGTAAATGAAAGCCATACTGTTCTGATGGCATTTTAAGAGATGGACATCATAATGTGAAAAGAATAAAATTTTAATTTGAGGAGAATATAAATCAAAATTTCGTTTTGAGGGGAGGTTTGGTTGTGACTCACCTGTCCGTTCGCGGGCCCACTGGTGAGTGTTTACCTCGAGTCTTCGCCATTCTCATTCCCCAGCGATTGTTGGGTAAAGTGCGCTGTGGCCGCGGGATGACATGTCGTACGTAGAGGTCTACGAGCTGGTCCCGAGTCCCGCAATCTTTGTAACTGAGCTGTCACTCAGACGTCACGGCCAAGTCACATGCTGGATCTTTTTCTTCACCTCTGGAGACATCAGAACACCCTGAAGACATGCAGCAGGAAAAAAAATGAGAAGAACTCACTAAGCCCTGTTCCAATGTGTTTTTTGGGACAAATAACAACAGTTTAACTTGCGGTTCTTACAGAGCAGTTTGCCTCCCGCTTGAGGCTTGCTGTGCCAGGGCAGCGTGAAAAGATCTTGTTGGAAGAAGATGTTGATGATGACGATGATGATGATAATGACAAAGACGACAACGGAGATGATGATGATGCTGATGAACTGCCAGACAAACGACGAATGGGGTTGGCCAGGTTTAGCGCTGGTGGGGGTTTTAGCCTATCAGCCACCCCTGATGACGATACTGTGCTCATTTCCGGCTTCTTCACGTTTGGTGAGCCACATGAAATGGAAAGGGAAGAAGTCAGGTGGTCCCTGGAAGGTACAACACAAAGGAAAGGGAAGGTACAATTAAGCATTTGGGAGGAACAATCAAGTGTAGTGAACTGGCAGGAAAAAAAATACATTCACTGATTCAATAACAAAGGAATATAATTGTGAGAATAAAGTTGTGATTTTACAAAAACAACAACAAAAAAAAAAAGGGTTCGAGAGTGAAATTAAATTACAGTACTTGTAAATGAAAGCCATACTGTTCTGATGGCATTTTAAGAGATGGACATCATAATGTGAAAAGAATAAAATTTTAATTTGAGGAGAATATAAATCAAAATTTCGTTTTGAGGGGAGGTTTGGTTGTGACTCACCTGTCCGTTCGCGGGCCCACTGGTGAGTGTTTACCTCGAGTCTTCGCCATTCTCATTCCCCAGCGATTGTTGGGTAAAGTGCGCTGTGGCCGCGGGATGACATGTCGTACGTAGAGGTCTACGAGCTGGTCCCGAGTCCCGCAATCTTTGTAACTGACCTTTTTCTAAGCCACAAAAAAACAAACGATAAGCAAAGGCCGTTCTTTAAACACGAACAAGACCAGAGCTATCGACTGTTAGCCAGGTACGCTAACGCCACTGTTTCTGTCTTCTATGTCACTCAATAAATTCCACTCTTGAAGTGTCATCGTGAAATTTTATCTCACCTCATTTAAAATTAACTGTAGAAAATCCTGAGATAGAAGCTCAGGGTGCAGTAAAACATCCACGTCTGAGGCGTAAAGGGCTTTTTTAGCTAACTCATAGGAGGTCGCCATATTTGAATTACCCAGCATGCTCCGTGTCAACGTCGAATTCTTCTTTGGACAGTTTTTGTTGCAATACTGCCACCTAGTGGAAGCTAGCACCCAACACAACACAACACAACACAACACAACACAACTCAATACAATACAATACATATTTGAGCCCAATTGGGAGGGAAGGTTGAAATGGTGAAAGTTGTTTGCCTGTGATCCAGAATGTCCACCCACCAAATATGATAACAGGTTCAAATGTTTCTCTTCCAATGATCTTACAATTTACAAAGTCAAAACTATTTTGGATACCTACAAATTAGAGATGTCATTTGGAAGAACAATTTCACCAGCGATGCAATGAATAGAGAGGGCATTTTGGAAATTTTTCATAAAGATTAGGACAATGGTACTTATCAAAAATAATCCTGAGAGTACTGTATATCGTGTTCATCAGAATGTAAAGTGAAACCACGATTTCAACATTAAAAGGAGATGGGAAGTAGAGGGAAATTTAGTGATACCCATATTAAGCCCCCACCTGTGTTTATTGGATGTTTAATCCTTTTGGAGTCCAAAATTTTTTTATTCCTATGGATGATATACAAAGTTATTTCTTGTACGTTTGCTACTATTCAAAACAAGGGAGTGAAATGAGTGAATTATTCTGCATGAACAACTTCCAGTTTGTGGTCTTGTGGAGGCTTCATATTCATAGTAGCAAATCAAAACATTTCAGTTTATTCACAATTATCCTCACTCTGGTAAATTCACCCGCCTCAAGAGTTTCCAGTGAAGTGAACACCCGTAGGAAAGATATGTCTGTCGTATCCCAGCAACATGGCAATATATTCGCATCATGTGGCCGCTCTACTGTTTACATTGTGGAAGTGGATGACCGCAATGTTTTGTTGTATTTTTGCCACAACACACACCTTGAGTCCTTTGAAAATCATATTTATTTGGCTGTTTCCATTCTTGGTAATCCATGATGTATTCAAGTTATTTTATTTTTTTTTTTACATCTTAATAAACATTGTTTTCATGAATGACCGCAATGTTTTGTTGTATTTTTGCCACAACACACACCTTGAGTCCTTTGAAAATCATATTTATTTGTCTGTTTCCATTCTTGGTAATCCATGATGTATCCAAGTTATTATTTTTTTTACATCTTAATAAACATTGTTTTCATGAACAAATGTCTTAGGACATCACTGGACAATATTTTTTCCCCTTTTTTGGGGGCGGGGGGCATAACTGACATGATAATGATCACCAGTAGGCATGGGCAAAAGAAATGATTTATTGACCATTATGAATTTTGTCACCTGTGTGGAACTTACTGTTGAGTCATTGTGTCTTAAAGGGGAGACCACCAGTCCACCAGTCAAGTGTGAAATTAAACACCAAAAGTCAATCTTTTGTTATCTGACTGTGTGCCATTGTCAGTCATCCAGGTCATGGTAATTTGAAGTCAAGGGTGTCCGGCCCGAACAAAATCCTTTCTCAACATTGGTCCAACAGTATGAAACATTCATCGAGAGATTCATCCATCCATCTATTTTCCCACACCATTTTTCCTCATTTGAGTCATGGGTGAGCTTAAACCTGGCCCTGGGGACTTCCAGCCAAAGGCAGACCGAAATCTGGTCGCCAGTCAATCTCAGGGCACGTCATAGAGACACACACACCCATTTACACATTCCCATTCACACCATCACCGTGTCTGCACCGAAGTCAGTCTCTCCCTATAGCAAGATTCTACCATGAAAAATAACATTTGAAATAATAACAATCACTCAGTCAGTCTAATGCTCGTCCATTAACGCCTCAGTGACTCATTGTACATAACGACAACTCACCAATGATGCAAAGTTCACAAACAAGAGATGTTGACATTGGACGAGATGAATTTGTTTTGCCTGCATGTTGGCTATCAGATCCGTGTGGAATTGCCAATGTGGACTAAACATTTTTTTTACTGGCCTGTGACATTTGAACGTACTGCAAAGTTGTCCAGATGTCCTGGCAAAGTCGTTTGAACGTGTTTGGTTAAGTCGTTCGAATGTAGTGGTAAAACGTAGGCTGCACACTAAAAACATTTGATGTCATTTGCACATGCACACAATCGCAAATGTGCAAGTCATTACCTCGTTCATGTATCATTTCATGAGCTGACTTGCTCATGGGTATAATTGTGCATGCACAAGTCAATACCTCGTGACGTTATCGGAAAAAAAAGGCCGTTTTTAGCGATGAGCCTCCGCCCCACTGATAAATTGACTTAGTCAATACGTTGAAACTGCTTGGCAGTACATCCGAACAATTTTATTCGAACGACATAAGCCAGTCAAAAATGTTTTAGTCCACAATGGTCGTTCCACACGTCCATTGATCTGAGACAAAAACAAAAGATCGACGTCAGAATCCCATGGCATTTTGTGTCCTTCACACAGCCGACTGAGTCTCGCTGCAGACGTAGATGTTGCTGGGTCGCACTCTTCTTCGGCTGCGGCTGCCCATCCTGGGACACAGGCGGCAGCTCTTGGGAACAAACTCCTGGCAGGCTTCCCGGAACTTTCGGATCCTCCAACAGTAAATGATGGGGTTGAAAACCGTCTTCAGGTAGCTGAGCCACAGGGCGCCTATACTGATTGGGTAGAAAGCGGGGCTGTAGTAGAACTGGCGGCTGAAGACAGCCAGCAGGCTGACCACGGTGTAGGGCAGCCAGCACACAGAGAAGCCCACAAAGAGGATCAGGATGGTGGTGAAGGCGCGGGTCTTGAAGCTCATGTCCACTTTAATCTGCGGGGGTCTCTGCAGCCCGATGAGTCTCATTTTGCTGACTTGGTTGAGGGCCGGCAAGCAGGAGGGCTCGCTGGCGTGGCTGTGGACGCGCAGGGTGTTGCGGCGCACCGTGTTCAGGATACACATGTATGAATAGAGCATGACCGAAAAGGGGGCAAAGAAGACCGCCACCGCCAGGAGGACGGTGTAAGCGCGATCGGCCACGGACTCGCTGTATCCCAGCACGCACTGCGGCACCCAGACGTCGCCTACTCCCGCCGTGCCCGTCCTCCAGCCAACGATGGACGGTAAGGACACGCAGAGACTAAGCAGCCACGAGCCCGCGATCAAAACCTTGGCCCTGTGTGGGGTCAACTTGTCCTGACGCTGCACGATGATGAGGAAGCGATCCACGCTGATGATGAGCAGTATGGACACGCCCTCCAAGACAAAAAGCCAATAGAGCATGATGGAGGCGCGGCAAAATCCGCTCCCAAAGCTCCAGTCGGCGTTTCCCAGCGTGACGGCGGTGAAGGGCATGCAAAGGAGCGAGAGCATGATGTCGGAGAAGGCCAGCGTGGCGAGCAACAGGTTAATGGCGGAGCGCATGGCCGGCTTCTGGTAGACAATCAAACACACGATGGAGTTGCCCAGGAAACCAATGGTGATCATGAAGATCATGATGGCAGCCAGAGTTACACGCAGGGTGACCGATATGAGAGGAGTTCCAGGTTCGGACGGGGGACTAGTTGTGCCCTGAATGGTGTCGTCCGGCTCCACCAAGTTACATTCTTCCAGCAGGCTTTCATTGCAAAAAGACATCGTGGCACTTTATCCGAGAATACCAATGTGGATGAAATGTGTGGTCACTGTCAGGGGCATAGCAAGAGTTTGAAACCCATCTGAAACACATCAATAAAATAGAGCACAGTGAGATTCGCTGTAGCGGGCAAGGAACGGTCATTGGTCACTGAAAGGGGAGGTTCAAAATCATCACACATCAAAAACAAAGAATAAACATGACAAATCGTGCCTTTACAATGGCGACATTCTTACACGAAACCCTCTCCGATTTAGCGCTGCATAGTTTTGCTGGCTGTTGCTATGGCAACAGGGTTAGCAGCTCCATGGCAACAAGCATCCCATACACTCGTGCTTCCACGGCCAAATATATTCTATAGCACAGCCTACTACTGCCAACTTTAATCTTACGCACAAGGTCACCTGATCTTGTTCGACTCGAACGGTACAACCCAGCGGGCACGTGACATCGATTTGATGTTGAAGGTTGGATTTTGATGTCATATCGATGTTGAATTCACATCAGATGCTCACTTTCTATGTTTATTAGTCTTTTTATTCTTCAGAGTTTGTTTATCATTTATGGGAATAAAATACGCTCGTGTGAAATTGCTTAGGATGATGTCATCCAAAAATGTTTTTGGGAGGATTTAGTAGCTGTGCCTACATGAAATGAAATCAACACAATCATGCGGGGTTTTGCTCATGATGGCCTTGACGTCCCTATTTTTGTCCATATTATTATTATTAATATTATTGTTATCATCATAAGTCCTGGTCATTGAGCAAAGTAGAGAAAGAGGTAATAGCACCTAAATGGAGCAATGTATTCGAATAAAATTTAAAAGATAAAAATTAAAAAAAAAATACCCACCTTGAACCGTTCACAGTGACAGCATCCTGGCCCACCTTTTCACCCATACGTGCAGTGACTGGCTTTCCTCCATGGCATACCGAAAATCTCAACTAACGATGAAGAGAAATATCCCGAGGAGAACGTTTCACAGCGGGCTCGGTCGTCATCGTGCGGATTGCAGACGACGCAAACGCCACAAGAAGCAGAAGCAGGTGGATGCCGATTTAAAGGAACAGTGCGAGCTTTAATTAAAAAAAAAAAAAAATCCATACCAACACAAGCAAGTAGTAAACTAACTTGTTTGTCGTTGGTTTTTTTTTTTTTTGGTTTGTTTTTATTTTTAGTAATTGGACGCCAAAGTAGTCAAACGGGTGCATTTTAAATGTATCTTTACTCTTTGTGGTTGTTTGACAGTACGATAGTAGGGATCATATATTTGAAATCGTTTTAAAAATTATCCTGTGTCATACTCATGATTTTTGGTATAATTATTTATTGTAAAAATATAGTTTTGATATTCGTGAGAAATGGTAAAAGAATACAGTAAAAGGAAATAAAATGCATTAAAAAATATTTCAGGCCCTTCCGCCTCTCTGCCCCCCCTCGTCTGTCTGTCAACTATTACTTTAAAATAGAATTTTTAACGATCAAACGGTGCAATAATTGCATTTGTTTTAAAATCACATGCTATGACAATTTTGTCCAATAGATAGCGGCATTGCGCTATATACAGTATTATTTGGTTCAGCAGTAACCGCTGACAATGGGACAGATGTGCAAAATAGCACCCACGAAGATGTTTTCAGACCATTATTGAACTGTAATTATTGACAGTTTCATGAACAGTTTTGTGTTTTTTCCATTTCGAACGGGCGCCATAACACGGTGCTGTATTACCTTTCCTTCTCGGTGTAAAGTGGCACGGTGCCCGTGCGTTGAACGTGCCTACCTCAGTTCCACTCCATTGATGTGACGCATGCATGCACATCACGTCCACTGGCAAGCTCGCAGGGAGGGAGAATTAATTTCTTTTATTCCACACCTCTGCCGAGACGTCGCCACTCCATCATTCGCCTAAAAAGCAAACACGCCGGTCTGCCTGCGTGAAAAATGTTCCTCTCCTTAAATCAGAATATTGAGAGTGCAAAGAAACAGACACACACACACACACACACACACACACACACACACACACACACAAGGAACAGAGAGTTACATTTAGGACATTTTGCACAACATCTACACTTTCTGGGTCTTGTATTGACAAACTGCCGCTTGTGACTCCAGCTCCCAGTTATAAGACTCAGTTTAGAAACTTCAAGGAAGGTGTTAATCAATGGTAGGACACTCGTGGTGGTTCGGCACTCTGTGCCATGTGCGAATACAGTAATTAAAAACATTGGGGAATGTGCAAGCCTCAGTGGAACTTTATGATAGGTGTCTGAGAGCGCTGTCTGTTTCACAGTGTGGTAATCAAACAGAGAGACTTTACTGAACAACGGGGGTCAACCACTCTCTTAGCAACCGAAAGCTACTTTTTGAGTAGTGATTAGTCCATTCTTTATTCATGAAAATGGTTTTGGTTTGGCCAGGTAATGGTTTAATTCTCATTATATCCTTCCACTCTATTATAAATGTAAAATAAAGTAAAACTTTAAAAGAAAGAAAAACCTCTCATTAGGGAGACAACAGGAATGAGTGTCATTAGTCATAGCATAACTCATCCGAATCAAATCAGAAGTCAAAGATGCTCATTTCTTCAATTATTGTTCAAGTTACTGTAAAAAGGCTAACAAAGAAATTCTTGCAAAATCTCAACGTTATCATTCATCACATATGGCAATTAACATTTTTGATATAGATTTTAGAAATGATCATGTACAGTGATGCACATGATTTGCTTTCATGGGACATATAAAATGATGCAGCGGGCCAGATCTGGACCCTGGGCCTTGAATTTGGCACCTTTGCTTTACACAATATGCCAATCCCAGTTTTAAACCTGGATTAAAAATTGCAGTTAGTGTCATTAAGGGCATTCGGTTTACTTTATCAAAACTTGCTTCTTCTTGGAAAATTTTGGTAGTGAAATTTGTATTATTAACCACAAGCTATCGTGATTGCCTACCACGCCATTTCTTGGTATATGCTGTGTGACTTCAAATATTAACATACAGGGTTGTTTATTCCTTTCCGGCAGCAACCTCTGGTTCCTGTTGGCTCGACTTTTCCGATTGTCATCGGTAAGATTCTTTCACTTTGTTGTGATGAGAGTGTGTGTGCGTGTGTGTGTGTGTGTGTGTGTGTGTGTGTGAGTATTGATCGGGGTGAGGAAGCACGCACTGCCATTATCCATCATGTGTGGCCTAAGATCTGCTGTCTGGTGTCACTCTGTCACCTTGGCAACCGCTTGCGCGTTGACCTGCCAGCTGGGAGTGCTGAACTTTGCTGGCTGGCACAGGATTGTGCATGAATGCAGGCAGCCTCACATCAAAATGCAGAAAAGAGCACAACTTAGAAGAGCACACCAAGGCAATGTCGATCGCTATCAACACTTTTTGTCGTGCATACACGTTTTGTGTCATGTGTCCTCTTGAGTAAATGCCGTAAATGCAAATTTAACTGCAATTTTCCTGAACTACCGATAACCTCGTATCACTAGTTCCTACCCTTTGCCAACTGCAGGGTCGGCATGGCACCTGTAAAACTGGCATCTACCATGGAGTTTAAAGAAACAAAAAGGGGCCTAATTTCGTACCCAGCACACTAGTCTAGTGCAAAGCATGGTCTGACTGTATGCATGGGTGGAGTTTTTTTTATTTTGGTATTTTCATTCGCGGTTTATAATGGGTGTTTGCACCGTCGTGGGAGTAAACACAGCCAACTTGCTTCCCAGCCAATGGATTTCCTTTAAATTCAGTGCAGGAGAGACACCCGGTTTACATGTTAGAAGCATGAATCTCCATGCAGAAGATTGATGCGGGCAAAGGAAATTCATAAGGAACTCCGCCACATATGTCCGCAGAGCTCAGAATATATCTGCTTGCACCTCGATCAAAACCACCAAAATCACATTACACCATCTACGCCACAACTTAGACCTGCTTTTGGCTGGTATAATATTTCCTCTATTTTTCAGCCACAAAAATTGTCTGTTGCGCCAGTGGCTTGGAAAAGAAAACGCCCTCAGTCCGAAAAATTCCCACACACGCTAAAGGAGATTCGCACCAGCATGAAAATCAAAATGCATTAATTTTAACACCCGAGTGCATGTGCGCTGTCTACAAAACTAGGGCCCAAAGTACTTTATGTTTCAAGTGCATTTATTCCATGTGGAACAAACACAACGGACCAAAGTACCTTATTTAATTAAATTAACGATCGCTTTAAATGGCATTGGTGACTTATGCACACACTACCAATTTCTCATTCAATAGTGTCAAGACAAGCTAATTCACACAGTCTTTCATCGCAAAAAGAGTTTGCTAGCCCACATTTCACAAAAATGAACGCCTTCCATCGGTCGACACCCTCCCAAGGAAAGCCTCAGAGAAAACCCATTCAGATTCAGAGGAAAAGAAAAAAAATAACTGATGGAGGGATCCCCCTTCCAGGAAGTCCCGTCTACAATGCAAACCGAGAGGGCAACATTAACCATACGATATAATTCATACAATGCTACATCAAACAGTATGAGAGCCCATTTCATGAAATGAAGCGCCGCAGACAGACGCCTCCGATGAAGTGGTTCCTCTTCAGGACTTTTCCCAGTTGGTTGATGCACAATTCTCCACAGCAACAACTTCGCTCGGAGGAGGAGAGAACGGGGGTTAGAAATGGAAGAAAAACAGGTCAAATCAAGAGGGGTGAGGCAGGATGAGAGACTATTTGCAGACGAGATGAGGTTTAACCCAATGTGTACTAAATAGTCTTAAGTCAAGGTTTCAACATTTCTACTGATGTAGTCACTCTAATTTTTTTCTGGGTAGGACACTCCGGACTGCTGGAACCTGAATAGAGAATGTTCAAGACCCGGCTGACTTCTTTTTTGTTCTCAGAGTGACCAAAGGACCATCTTCTTATGACATTAAGCCAAACGGCGTGTATACATTTTTAACAAGTCATATTTCTGAATTTCGTATACAGCATTGCATATACAGTATTTATTTCATTTTTGGGGCTCGAATGTTTCCACCACCAACCACATGGCAAAAATGAAGACAGCATGAATTGGGATCACTATTAGGGCCCATTTTATTTTCCGTGATCGAACAAATGTTTATCATGATGAGGATTTGTCTGTGACATGTTTCTGGGCTTGTTCATCTGAGGTATTATTTGTTTTTCAAATTGCATAGCCTGGTCAAATTTGATGCTCCGGTCTACGGGCTGTGTAGCTTGAGTGAGTCTTACAGTACGGTACATGTCAGGGATAAGATCTGCTTTAAGATAAGAAATAACTGTTTTTAAATGTTGGGTGCCACAATAGACTACTTGAATACATGCTCATGTATGAATGTAGATTTAATCTGCAAGTTAAATGCAATTCAAGCTGTGGTATTTACACTAACTACCCAAATGTCAGTACCTGTATTAACCGTGCAATTTGCTTTATTTGGCTTAATATGGAAGACTTCTTTGGTCAACAGCACTTTGATGCTAATACTCTTATTGTCTGTTTTCCTGCATGTTTTCACACATATTAATGACCTGCGTACTATACATTCAATTTATTTGTTAATGCGATATGAAGCCTCAAAAACGTGAAATGTCACGACAAAGACTGTTTACCCTTTCATGCAACCTGATAACGGGATTAAGCTGTCCACTGTAGTGACCGCTTGCCAAATACTGAGCATACCTTGAGTGAGTTTTCATGGCACTTTACAAAAGGATACCCTAGTTTTAGCGTTTTTTTTCAAGTGGTAATAAAATAAGATAGGTTGGTACAATGCCCTTTTGATTGTGTATGATAATTTCGACACAAACGAAATTAGTAATTTAAACAATTGGCTCATTGTGAAACAAAGCCATATCAATAAAGGCCAGAAAAGATAAACTACCATACGTGCAAATTTGCAAATTGTCAGCTCGGGTTTGGTGATGGTCACAGCTGATACAAAATTCGGTTTAGTATAATTTAGAACAACAGGGGTGAAACTCTGGTCTTCCAGGGCCACTATCCTGCATGTTTGAGATGTTTCCTTCCTCCAACACATCTCATTCAAATGATCATCTCATCGTCGCCATCATCAAGCTCGACATCATCGTTATCAGATTTCTGTGATTTCAAACAGTTTTTTTGTTTTTTACAGGGCTACACCTAATAAATGTTTTCCTATTCAGCTGTATCTAATTAATACTCTTTGTTTTTGGATAATACTTGAAATAAATATTGAGCGGTACCAACGTAAACATGCATTTGCAGTGAGAGTGTGATTTAGGCCTACACATTTTTTTTTAAAATTGATGTTGCTGCAGTGCAAAAAAAATTCCAAATTCGGCCTGATTGTAGATAGACAAATAGACAGATAGACAGATAGATAGATAGATAGATAGAGATACAAAGACATATAGATGCAGAAAACATTTAGCTGGGTCATTAGAACAAAATGCGCGCACGTGTGTAAGAATGTTCAACTCACGTGTCATCTTCCATGTCAGTCCAATTTATTAAATAATTCATTTTTTTCCACTGGAAATACTGTAAGAATGATGGGGGGGGGGAATAAATAGTGCAAACTATCACACAATAATACACACTTGACTTGCACATGTAAAGGAATGTTTTGTACTTGAAAAAAAAACATGTATCTCAATAATAAAGGAAAGCAAAACAATGAAACGAGTTGCGAGAACTGTATGTCTACTAAAAACACAATTGGAAGAAACCTAATGGGGGCGGGGGATTCGGGAACAAGTCAGTGCTAAATTAAAGCAAGTCGTTAACTTATTTTAATGTTTGTACTTATGTTTTTCAATATGATGCATAAAAATTGACTTTTTGTGCTGCTTTGAATTTACACACTCGCACGCACACACACGCGCGCGCGCACATAACGGATCACAGGACACACTGGAGCTTGTAACAAAACGCTGAAGTGAGGCAAACAAAGAGAAAAATAAAGTTTGGGCGATTTGGTGTGGCGTTCACGTGTCGCCGTACATCCTCTTGCAGTCTAAGGAAGGTGGCGGCGTATCCGCGCCCATGCTGCCCACCTGCGAGTACGCGTTGTCCGGGCTTCGCGGAAGCCCGGGCGGCGTCATGCGCTTCTCTTTCTGCCTGCGGTTGCAGAACCACACGCGCACCACCTCCTTCTCCAGCTGCAGTGTGTCCGCCAGCCCGTTGATCTCTTGTGCCGACGGCTTGGGGCACTTGAGAAAGTGGCTCTCCAGCGCGCCTTTGACGCTCACCTCGATCGACGTGCGCTTTTTCCTCTTGCGTCCCTGCGTGGCGATCTTGTCGATGCTGGCCGGGCTGCCGGTGCTCGAGTCGGCCTCCTCTAGCCACTTATTGAGCAGCGGCTTCAGCTTGCACATGTTCTTGAAGCTCAGCTGCAGCGCCTCGAACCGGCAGATGGTGGTCTGCGAGAAGACGTTGCCGTAGAGCGTGCCCAGTGCCAGACCCACGTCGGCCTGCGTGAAACCCAGCTTGATGCGACGCTGCTTGAATTGCTTGGCGAAGTGCTCCAGGTCGTCCGAGGTCGGCGTGTCCTCATCCGAGTGCGCCTCTTGGTGATGATGCTGATGATGATGATGCTGGTGCTGATGGTGCGCGTGCTGGTGATGAGGATGATGATTGTGAGGATGGTGGTGGTGGTGGTGGGGGTGGTGGTGGTGATGAGGGTGGTCGAGCTCTGGGGAGTCCCCACGCAAGAGCGAACCGGGGTGCATGAGGCTTTGGGTGCTGAGCATCCCGTTGACAGTGAAGGCGGCGGGTTGAGAGTAAACGAGGCTCTGCTGTTGCTGGTGCGGCTGCGTCTGACCCTCGCTAATGTTGATGGTGCCCACCCAGCCGCCAGGCTGCGCTTGATGCCCCCCTAAATGGGAGCCGCGGTGATGCAGAGTAGCGCCCGAGTGGAGGTCCTCCCTCCCACCGCCGCCTCGCTTCATCTCCTGGGTGTGGGAGCTGGCCGGCCACGCCGCACCAACTTCGGCTGCGGCAGCTGCAGCCGCCGCAGCCGCAGCGGCCGCGGCTGCGGCGTGCGGCAACGACGTGACCCACTGGTGGGCATGACTTAGCATATGCCCCCCGTTGCTGGACACCATTGTGGCCCCTTGCATGAATTCGCTCTGCACCATCTTGACCGAGGGGTCCCCTCTGAACGCGCTGGAAGACACCGAGGTGACCACGCCGTTTGCCGGCTGCATGCTACCGCCTCTCCGGTCAGAGTGGGAGACCGGGCCGGTTAGAATCCTGCTGCTGGCTAGGTACGGGCTGGAGGTGGCTGTAGCCATCCCCCAAATCATAAATCTGGACTTTTTTTTTTTTTACTTGCTCTTTTAAACACCGGATCCACTCGCAAACGCACTGTGTGAAAAAAGAGCAAAAACAGTCCTTATATCGAAAACAGCCATAAAAAAAATACTGAAAATCAAGGGGACAGCAAAAGTTACAGTTTAAAAAAAAAAAGTTTCCCCAGTCGTGAATAATCCACAGAACTATTCGATCCGTGCCTGCCTGGAACGTGCGTAAAAGTCCGTCCCTTAGTCTTCTAATTAGAATATTTTTTTTTTTTTAGAACGCGATGAAATGATAAGGTCAAAAACTCCCCGCTGAGACGAAGCGCATCCTCCACGGAGCAAAGGAGGCGAACATGTGTTTAACTGCGACCACGGCCGAGCTTCCCTCTCCCATCTCCGGCCAATTAGGTGCAAACTAGCCCGCTGAGTCCTTGCTGATTGGACGCTCAGCCTGAGAGGAGTGTGTGTATGTACGAGGGACACTAATCTGGTCAGTGCGCTAAATTTACTACACTTACACAATAACAATATGAAAATCTTATTGCTTTACAACCCCGGTGACTACAAAATTAAGTACGCGTGTACAATCTGCCAGATCCAATCAAAGTGCTCTCTTTTTCTATCAGCTTTTGATCAGTTTTGATTGGAGGCGTTCATTTAACAGCTTGGATATGTTTATAGTTTACTGTGGTGTAGAACTACACTGTATCATGCAGAGAGCTGTTTCTAATATTTTGTCATGTAACTAAATGAGACAAGCAAAACATTAATAACAGGTGTCCCAAAGGCAAAAAAAATAAGGTGTTGGCTTGAATACATGACATCATATCATCATTCCTCAATACCAAGCTAATACCCCCTCGATGTGGTGAGCCACGTGGGAAAAACATGACAGTGGTATAAAGTATTCGATTTACTTCATCAGTTGGTAGCAATAGAGTGCATCGTTTTGCCTTTACGAGCTCATCTTTGAAGTTTTCTTTTTGTTTTTACTGCAAATGTCCAATAGATTAGTGCTGAAACCTTGAGACAAAATAATAGCTCACATGGCCTGAATTGAACCCACATTTTAGATCAATTTAATTTGAATTCATTTAGAGCTTGTACTGCTGAAGAGGTGCACGCAGAGTCGTAAAGCTAAAAGTTGCACCAAAGTGAATTTTGATGATTCCTTTTACCGATCTCAATGTTTCCGTACATCACAGCAATGCACAATATGCGGCTCCTGAGAGGCTACGAGTCGTGTCGGAATGACTTTTGAGCAATGTGAAGAGGATTACCTGCACAATTACTGTATCCCCAATCTTGTTCTAAAACATCTTGCAAAAAAAAAGTCCAATAACAATAAGTGTTTAGTCTGCGAAAAGTAACCGCATACATGTTCTAAATGAGTCCCATGTTTTGTTCTTTTATACTGTAACAATGCACTATTACATATTGGTGACATCGGCGCATTCCCTTCTTACCTTTGAGTTCTTCACTCGATGCTTCGACAACCTGCACAATTACTGTATCCCCAATCTTGTTCGAAAACATCTTGCAAAAAAAGTCCAATAACAATAAGTGTTTAGTCTGCGAAAAGTAACCGCATACATGTTCTAAATGAGTCCCATATTGTGTTCTTTTATACTGTAACAATGCACTATTACACCGATAAGGCTGCGGGTCGCATATTGGTGACATCGGCGCATTCCTTTCTTACCTTTGAGTTCTTCACTCGATGCTTCGACAGAAAAACGCGTAGAGTGAGTGACTGATATTTTGGAGTTGAGGGGAAAAGTACAACATTTTCAAAGAGAGCAATTCATCTTATTTTGGGGTTTAGCTGGTGAGTGACTGTGCGGGAAAATGATGATAATGGGAAGAAAAATACACTCTGTCTCACACAACAGCACTTTGAATGCTTGTCTCTCAGAATAAATACACCAATAGATAGATGAGATAGCATACTAGCCGGAACGTTTCTCAAGGATCCTCAGCTTTGGACACAAGCAAGGTGTGCACGCCTTGCGCATGCTAATGTGGACTGCCTTTCAAGCGGTCAAGAAAGAACACAGTTGCGCCTCACTGCTAAAGTGCAAAAAGCCGCCAGCAATGCAGTTGGAAACACATTCAACAAGGGAGGATTTTTCAACACTGGGCCTGTTTACGGGACGATCTGACACGTAAATGTGCTGTGGGAACCATTTTCTCCCAAACGTATGAGTTGACCGGACTCACTGTGCTGCATGTTTGACTTGCATGGTCTCAGGTCCACTTTATAAAGTGGCTCATGGATGAAATGCCTTTTCCATTTCACCCCCAAAACGTTCAAATTGAACTTGATATTGATTGTATTCAGTCGACGTTAGCTATAAAAACTTCAGATCGGTCAAGCTCCCACACTTGACAAATGTACATGCAAACAGCAAAATAAGTCCGTTTTCTGACAGTGTGTACAATAGCAGAGCAGAGACATTTTCGACTAATGTTCGCATTTAATGAGCAGGCGGTGGACCTCCACTTAAGCATCACAATTTTTTTTTTTTAATTGATATTTCACTATGACAGAGTGGACACGTTAAGCGTGGCAACATCCAACTATAAACATGTCACCATGATGTTCTAATTTAAATATACGCACCGAAAAGGTATTTTTAAATGAAGTCATCAAGTTAAAAAAAAAAAAAAAAGATACGTGGAGAGCAACAACAAAAAAAAAAATCAATATTAATTCAACATTTGTTGAGACATATTGGCTAAATTGCTGCCGTTTGGACAAAGGGATGTTATCTTGTTGGTGGGGGGGGGGGTCGCAGTGTACACTCAGTATTCAAAATTTTCTCTCAAAATGTCACATTTATCAACTTAAATATAATCTAACACCCAACCTGAAGTACTTATACATCGTACAAAAAAAAACCATTAACACAACGTTTTTGAAAATATTTTTCAAAGTAAAAGACTCAACACCCAAACTGAAGTACTTATACATCGTACAAAAAAAACCCCATTAACACGTTTTTGAAAATATTTTTCAAAGTAAAAGACTCACAGAACATTCCTAAAGAGTCGCGCGCATTTCATTTTGAATCTTTCAACTTGAATATTTGATTGTGCCGTGAACATGTTCAAATCCTACTTCTTCAACCTGTGAAATAAAAACAACAACAACAACAAAAAAAACCCCACAAACGGCGTGGCCGGCTCCAAAAGCAGCAGACCACTTTCCAAGTCCGGCGGCAGAATGTTGAGGAAGCCAGATGAGTGTGCAGGGACGCGGTAATGTTTTGCATGTGTTGTGCTGGCTGCTCGTCTTATTTGTTATTCATGAAGGAAGCTGGGTGAAGAGGCCGACTTCTGATGCGTGTGTCTCTCTCTCTCTCTCACTACACTCTCTTTCCGCTATGTGTTGGAGCTGCAGCGAATTTGCCGATTAAACTCCGCTTAATAAGCATGACACCGTCCGCTAACTGGCATCGCTGTTTATGAAAGATCATCCTCAAATCGGTTGAACTCTCTCTTTTGTCTTTTTTGCTCTCGGTTGAGTTTTCGCCATGCGGGTAGGCTACCATTTTGGGCCCCCTGGCTATTTTTTTGGGGATAGACTTTTGAAATATGCAAATGTTAAGAAAAAAAAAAGTAGGAAAGGGCAGGGAGAAGAAAAAAAATCTTCATCTGGACTCCCGGAGCTTCCGATCAAAAGAAACAGATGTTTTGTTGCTTTTTTTTTCTTGTTCGTGCTTATGTTTGTTGTCAGCCAGTGTAATTAAGAAGCGCAGTAAAAACGCAAAACAGACAACAAAAACAAATGCTATGGTCACAGGCATGATTACGGACCTGCTAACCTCGATTAGTTTCTTGATCTCATGAAATTTTGTGGAGCGTCAAACCAATAGTTTTCAATATTTTCCCAAGGTTGCCACATTTGCAAGTTCCTTTTTTTACCAAGGTCACTCTTTTCATGCAAACAGACCTCACACTTTCAACTTCCTTCTTTCACCCAAATTATGAAGCTAACCTCTGCCAAATAAACGACTTCTTTTGTTTGATTTTGGTGCTGCTCGTGCACACTTCATACTCATTCTATTTTTTTTTCAGGAAATGTGAATTACAAATGATACTTTGAGGGAAAAATACTCACGTTTTTTCACAAAGTACATGCTTGGTTGGCAAAGGTCAATTCTTTTGTTGTTCGCAGACTTTTTTTGTTGTTGTTGAGTTTATAGGGGTGGCGTATATTTGAAACCTGTTCCTGTGAGAATTTTGGATTAATATCGCACAAAAGTGAGTTGTAACGAGTCGCAAATATGGCCTATTTCGTTGTGATCAAATCAAATAAAAATGTGTATTATATGACGCTTATTTTCCACAAGAGTTTAGTAGGTTAGCCAACAAAAAATGAAATGTGACAAATTCTATGGTGGAATCTTAAGCAATTCACCAGTAAGTTTAAAATCACTCCTCTTTTTTTATTTATTTATTTTTTTTAGTAAAATATGAATCAATAGTTGATTGGTTTGGGTTTTTTTTCCTTTTTTTGGTCTTACCTTTGACACATTTCTGTTGAAGATTCATAACTTTATTCAGAAATGTTGCACAAAGGCTTTAGGGATGTTATGTTTCCTGACAATATGAGCATTTTTGTTTTTTATTTAATCTTTCATTGCAAGAATTTAGTCTGCTAGCTTAGCAATTGTAATTCATAGATAACGTTTTGGTGGAAACTAACCCTGAACAATTCCAAGAGAAATTTGATTCTTCAGTCATACAAAGCAACTGGATTTTTCGCTTTGGTTTTTATTTGCCCTTTTGTGACATTTTTCAAAATTCCACTTTGGAAGGGTATCATAAGAGGGAAATTGTGGTGATGACCATAGAACAGGAAGTAAAATTATACTGTCCCCGGTGCGACCAAATATTTAATTTTTGGATCAGCCATAATTGTAGAGGGAAGTTACTTGTGTTCGTTGTGAACAAGTATATCTATTTTTTTATTTTATTTTTTTGCTGCCATAGCGAAGAAGCCATATTGTAGTTTCCCTGGTGGGAGTTCATATAAATTTTTGTGAATGTTGTGTTTGAATAAAGAACTGAGCTAAACTGCCACAGAGGGGGAACTCCTTGGGTTTCATCTTTTAATTCAGCCTGCTGTCGTGTCATCCCGTGGTTGTGCTCACGAGTGTGTTTTGACCTTCAGCTGTAGAGAGACTTCACAGCGTGAGTCTCTCCACACATGCCCCCCCACGGGGCGCTTTAAATCAGAAGCAGGCCCCGTCGCGGAGCGCGAGCGATGAGCTCAGCGGGGCTGGTCGAGCTCAGACCGAGGGGAAACGGGAGGAAATGGAGGAACGGTCAGGGTGGATGCAAATGCCATGCCCTTGTTTGCAGAGG